AACTGTAAACCCCGTGCCTGCGTATCCCAGAATTTATCCCACAGCAGGTTCCATTCTTGTCCAGGTCCACATGCATGCCCATAGTCCCTTGAAGAGCCCGACCGCTGTGTTTCAATGATTTAGGCCCAAGCCCAGGTCGGCTGATGATCATGGCCTTCGAAACACTGTCCTCTCAACCTCCACTTTTATCGCGGTCGCGCCCAAGTCGCCTGCTTCACGCGCAGATTCGATCGGCGAATGCTTCAGCATTTAGCTGTTAATGTCTTGAAGGCATGTCTCGAAGTTGGGGGCCTCTTTATGCTGAGATCTGGCAATCCAGAGAACCGCGAGAATGGGCAAACCAAGTATGCAGCAGTAGTTCTACATACCATTGGGTTCTTGCCCATCCTCGCGGACGATGGTCTTCATGTGCCACATGTGGCAAAACTTGAGAAAGCGTTCCGATATTTCTATGGTATTTCTTCGGAAGGAGGCAACAGGGGACCACCCCCAATTTTGAGACGCATTTGCGCATGGGTAGTTTCTTAAACCAAGCACCAAATTGCCCCCTTGAGGGTTGGAAAGTTTACCAACCTCAGCTACCTCAAGCCATGAAAGTCCTAAACCACCCCAGGCTACTTACTACCAGACTACTTACTCATGTGCTGAGAGGAGGGCCTTCAAAGCGTGCAATGTTTTCCTTGCATGAGGGTGTTCCAGTTCCAGTGGGTCTGGGTCCTCGTCTTGGGCTTCCCTTCGCATGGGATATTGGGTTTGTTTGCTTGAAGATGCAGGGTTTGGAAGGTCATCCTTGCGGGAAGCTTATCATTCCGCTAGTTTTGAAATGCCCCGTATGCTGAGAAGCATTTGTATAAATGCAAGGAACGAGCCTTCAAAACGGCGTTCTTCAGGATGGGTCGAAGAGATAACTTCTCGAGAAGCTCCTGATGGGTCCAGCATCAGGGACGTGTGAGATCACAAGGTCAGGATCTACGGCATCATGAATCCAACCCTACAGACACCTTTCAACAAGATTGCCGAACCCACGCAAACCCGAACCCCAAGTCCGATGGTGTTAATAACTTTTACCCGAAAACATAACATAAGCCCCATACCTCATTAACCTCATTCCTAAATCCGTTGAAGGGTTGGAGGGTTTAGCCAGCAGGAAGAGCTTCATCTCAAGAAGGGATCGAATAAGGTACTCAGGTCGCTAGCGGTAAACCTGACACCCTCAAACTCGTTCAGGGCCTCATGAGCCTAATGCGTTGGGTAACTTGTGGCTCACCCCAAAACCCCGAAACCCAACCTCAAGCCCTTTGATCCCTGTCCGGTTTAGGGACGCCGTAGCTTCTTCGAATCGTCCATTGCCTCTATAGACACCCCCATGATACGGTCGATTGGCCCAGATCATGCATGACCCTATATTAGCACAACTTGGAGGAAGAATGGTCATATGGCGTACTACTTGGTGTCATGTAGCATGAGCTCCTCCTCAAGCCTTCAATCTAGAAAGGCCCCTTCTCCAAAAGAAAACGGTGGACAACTTTCAGGTTCCATTCTAATTCGAAAGGTTTTGTAAAGTCTCGGGAGCGGTATATAAGAGAGACATCGTACAACAATCGGGTTTAGGGTTTGTAAGGTTAATCTTGGGACGGTCCGTGTTTTTTGAAGCCCAAAATCTGGACCGCCTATGCCGGGCCAGGATTATATTGTATTGTGCCATATGAGCCACCCTTAAGTTGAAGCCAGCATATGAATAAAACTTCGGGTCAGCCAAGCTTGTGCCATCATTTTTTCCAGGGCCCCAGATCGAGGGCCCTTACCTTTTACCATCTCCAGAGCCAAGCTCTCAGTTGTTTCACACGAGGCCTTGAGGTCTCCATGTTTCTTGGATCATGGAATATCATGAAGCACATTTTGCCGCCGAAGCATGGGCTGGGCGGCTCCTTGCCAAGCTGCTCAGTTTGAGTGTACCGGCAGGAGCAGCTCATCTTAACAAAGTGACAAATCATTTTGGGGAGCTGACGCAGTTACCGAAGGCTGCATTAGGGGTCAGCAAAGCGGACCCTTACAGCCTCCCGAGCAGCATCTTGAACTCCTTGAACTCCACGGCTCAAATGCCAGACTCTACACCATGCAGATTTCGCTCTCGTGCATATCTATTCATGGACTCGGGAAGGCAGCCGTGAGGCACCTAAGTGGACCCACTGAGGAAACGCAGGCAGTAGACGTCGGGGCTGGAGGAAAGGGGTATGGGGGCAGTTTTTTTGTGTACGAACTCTGAAGGTCTTGGATTTGCGTGAAAGCTTGGCGAACTTAGCAGCAAAGTATTAGCCAAGATAAGCAGCAGGTGAGCTAGAGTCTAGAGCTTGTAGCAAAACCTCCATTTCAGGGTGCCCTAGGTTTTCGTGACCTCGTTCCTTTACTTTGTTCATGATCACTTTCCTGGGTGTGCGCCTCTCCACGGCGGTAAAACCGGCGTGCTGTGTTTTTTGGCTTGCGTATGCTGGCGACCGCATGTCTACGCAGAAAGTGCGAACATAGACCTGCAACTGCGCGCTGAAAGACTTTGCGTAGTTATGGGGAGCACTTAAGATTTTGGGTGTCAGAAGTGAGCATTAATATCGTGTTCAATCACAAAGGGTAAGATATGGTAAGGATGTCTGAAGACCTAATTTCCATGTCAAGGGGCTTCACCAATTGGTACATGGAGGGCCTGCACTTTTGAACATCGGTTTTGGCATGCCTTCCTACGGTAAGAATCTTCTTGAACAGCAATGCCAGCTTAGCGTCACCAGATGTGAACCCTAAAGCTACCACCCTCAATTCTCAAATGCCTGTGAAACATGTCTGAGCTCCTGTGTGAGATTGTGTGAGATTGTGTGAGATTTGCGGTTTTCCTCGGCATGTCTCGTGTCCCCACGCCAAGGCTTCGTTTTCTTTCCGTAGGCATGTGAGGTCCCCTACATCTAAAGACTTCCTGCTCCTGCAATGCAAAGCTTGATTTCTTGTCATTCAGATTTCGAATCTAAGGTCACGAGTTGCATCTTGTGTGACTACAGCAGGCCCTTTGAAGCTGGCTCACATTGCCCCTCATGGCATGCAAGACCTTAGCTTCTAAAGCTCAAAGCTTGATTGTAAGACCCAACCTTAAACCCCCAAACTCGAATCCCCCGATACCTTGATTCTGCTTCCAGGCTCAGCGTGAGGCAGTGGCCAAGGCTTACGCCTCCAAGGCCGGATCAGAATCCCTTGGATTTCGGGCTTCAGGGCATAGTTCACTCTTGTGATGGGACAATAGTGGCAGTCTATGGAGCTGGGATTGGGTATATGGAGTTCGTGTAATTATGGGATTGGAGTGCATGGCTTGGTTAAGCTTGTTTTGGCAGAGAGCAGGTTGAGGTAAGGGCTTAGGCCCAGGCTTAGACTTTAGGTTCGTGCGCAGTTTACCCAAGCCCCGAGCACTGAGCTTCAGGGAGCGGCTCCACAGGTTTGTAATGCTTCCAATCTTATTTCAGAGCCATGTAGGATTTGACAGCGCGGTCCTGGCTGGGATTGTAGAGGGAGTTAATATGGTGCTAAAGACGTTTGCAATTTGAAGCATGTGTTCGACTCGTGATTGTCTAGTTCAACAGATTTCGATTTACTGTAATTTCCAGAGGGACGCTGCGGGGCCCCCATTTTTGCGTAGGTGTGATTTTTTTTATGTTTTTAGACGTTGCGATGCATCCTGATAGGTTCCTAGGTTCCTAGCAATTAGTACGATGAGGAGAGTGGGATAAGGAGGCTCATGAGGTGGA